AACCCAAACCAGTCTGTGATTCTATGGTTCTTTGAAGTCATTATTATGCAGCAGCCAAGTCCCCTTCCTGGCCTTTGGGGGTGTCAGGTTGGAGTGCTGGAGGGTGAGGTTCCTTCGTGTTTGCCTCTGTGAGGGTTGGCAGACACTGGTGGGCGTTGTGGGGGCTCCTGGCTGTCACCTTTGTGATCCCTGTGAAGGGGAAGGGCAGGGGATTTGTCAGTGTTTGGGTTCAGAGGCCAAAGGGGATCCTGTCACCCTCTGACCTGGGTGTATCAAGTTTGTCTTTGCTCTTTCTGATGCATGTTTATTCCCTCTGTGCTCTTAATAACCCTTCAGTGAGGAAGTTGTGTTTTAGCTATAAACTGTTTGACTTCACTTCACCTTCCTGGGTCTGCTGGTTCTTTTCTAGCAAAGCCAGAAGTCCTGCTACCAGCAGCCCGAATGGCAGGAGGGACAGCTAACCCTTCTCTCGCTGTCTGGGCACACCAAGCATTCACACTGTGTGCTGTGGGGCTGGATTTGTGTCTGTGGCACACTGACAAGTGTCCTAACTTGTTCCTGTGCTGGGTAGTGACCTTTGTGTCAATGAGGATGGCCCCAGCCACTTCTGGCTCCAGTACAAGAAAACTCTCAAACAAACCCTAAATTGCAAGTTGTAGCTGAGCACGTGGGGAAAACACGACTGTGGGGTGGGCTAGTTTAGGGTGTCTCTGGGGGGGCCCTGGGCAGTGACCTGCTGCTGATGCTCTGTCTGTCTCTCACAGTCCACTCTCACAACGATTTCCTCCTGGCCATTCTCACCCGCTGCCAGATCCTGGTTTCTGCTCCAGGTAAGTCCTGAGGATCCTCCCTGCCAGCAGCCGGGTCGCGGCGCTTGGGCACCTGTGGGTCTGGGTGTTGTACAACACACTCCCATTTCCTGAGCCTCAGTGCTCATGTTCTCTTTGCCACACAGGCTGAAGGGGAGCAAAGCAGTGATCCAGCTGGTTTCAGCAGATGTGCTTTTATAAATCAGCTGCCTGTGCTTGGCAGGAGGCTGACCCTGCATTGCTGTGTGTGATAAGCTCTTTGGTTTCTGGGTTGGGCGTGTGCTGTGAGCTGAAGTTTAAAGGGAGATGCTGCTTTGCCTTTGATCTGCTTTGCTTGCTGCTTTCTGAACTTGCTGCTCTTTGTTCTCTGCTGAGGATATCATTTTGGGGAGCTGGATTTTCCTGATTGATCTTGAAATCACGTACATGTCTGATAGAAAGATGCTTGTTTTGAATGCTTACATTGAGTCTTGATTGAGCTCTGGCCAATTAACCCACCCTCCTGCGGATAGTTAACCTTCTAACTTAGTAAGTGTGTAGAAGGGCTGTCGTCAGGGTTGCAAGATATTGCAGGAACTCTCAATCCAGAGATCTGACAGGAAGGAAAATCGAGCTGCAGTTCAAGATAAGAAATTGCTGTGTAGTAAGGGAGAGAAAATTGTTACAGCTCTGATGGGCTGAGACCTGAGAGACAGGTTGTGGTGGGCTGACCATGGCTGGACACCAGGTACCCACCAAACCTGCCCTGTCACTCTCCTCCTCAGCTGGACAGGGAAGAGAAAATTTAACAGAAGGCTTGTGGGTTGAGATAAGAGCAGGGGGAGATCACTCACCAGTTACTGACATGAACAAAACAGACTCCACTTGGGGAAATCGATTTATTACCAATCAAATCAGAGTAGGGTAATGAGAAATAAAACCAAATCATGAAACACCTTCTCCCCACCCCTCCCTTCTTCCCAGGCTTAACTTCACTCCTGATTTTCTCTACCTCCTTGCCCCGAGTGGCACAGGGGGATGGGGAATGGGTGTTTCACTCAGTTCATCACGTGTTATTTTTGCTGCTCCTTCCTCCTCAGGGGGAGGACTCCTCACACTCTTCCTCTGCTGTAGTGTGGGGTTCCTCTTACAGGAGCCAGTCCTCCACCAAGTGTGGGTTCCTTCCACAGAGTGCAGTCCTTCAGGAACAGGCTGGTCCCTTGTGGGGC